GCCCTACACTTTTCTATAGCAAAATCCTCCTGTGTGACCTTTAGCACCCAGTTTCCATAGTATGTTCTCTGTGAATCTTTCCAAGGCTTCTCTCTGTTTCCACAATCTTGCCCTTTATACCTCTTACAGAATTAATAGTAAAAGGTTTACCACTAGGAACTGTCATTTTGTTAGTTTAAACCAACCAAATATTAGCAATTGTATGTAGTGAAATGTGACTTCTGGGCTAGGGATGCAGCTCAGTGGTAGAACCCTTACCCAGCAGGCACAAGGCCCTGGGTTCAATCCCCAGCACTGCAAAAGCAGAAATAAGGGAAAAGGAAAGTAATGACTGATTTCTATGATAATGTGCTATTTTCATCCAAACTAGTCAGGGAACTAGACCTCCCCCTTTTTTGTTTTCTTAGCATCTGACATAGTGCTTGGCATCTCATGGGTCCCTGGCTAAGTCCTGGAAGAGCGAGCCCTGTTTGGCAGGTGCTCTGCACACTGACTGTACTCAGTGTTGCATGCTCTAACACAAAACCAAAACCTAATCCAGGACTCTAGCAAAACAGCCTACAAGTTTTCACGGCAGCCAAGCCAAGCTCCAGATGTTTGTCTGTGCCGGCCAAGCAGAGCATGAGAGCATGCAAGGGGGTGGGCAGCACATGGTTCAGGACAACTACCTTTCTGGCAGGAGAAGCAGAGTCAACAGTCGGTGGAGAGGAAGTAGCAGTTGGATCAGGAGACGGAAGGCAAGAGGGAGAAGACGGAGGATGAGTATGAGACAGGCCTTTAGAGAGCAGTTTGTTCTGCACAGAACAGAGATAGAGGAAACTAGGATTATCCAGGGGCGTGCACAGCCCTGCAGGCCTTGACCAGACAGCCCTATCTGTGCCTCGTGTGGGGGAGATGTTGGGCCTGTCTCTCGAGTCTCTCAAGACTAAACAGAAACCTGTCTTTGGAGCCAAGCAGGATTATGTGGCTCCTGGTTTACACTGCATTCGGCTGCAACTACTCCAGCTCGTTTTTCACATTAAAATAGCTCAAGCAGATCCGTTTGGTGCCTGCCTACATCTGCTCCAGAGGCCAGCTAATTCTGGTGTAAAGGAGCAGCTGCAAGCTTAGGAGGGGAAACCCTGGCCCTCTCTGGGACAGATGATCACAGAGGGACCTCTGCAGCTGTGGGCAGACAACTGTGCTGGCCTCCCGGCAGCCACGGGGAACCCTAAAAATGAACTACATGTGAAGTATCTATCCCAAGTAGCAGAGGTGAGGAGACTGAGTGAAAGTGGCAGAGGAGAAACGTTCTACAGACAGGCTGATTGTCACCCATGTATCCACCACGGGCCTCATTACCCGCTCTTCCAGCTCCCTTCTTTTCCAAATAAGTAACTGGCTTGGAGGGGGCTGTGTAATCCTATGTAATGCAGGGATTTCCATTCTAGCTTGATGTTGCCCTTTGCAAAGGAGACCCCAGGTTATGGCATGTCTGTGGCCTTATCATTCAGTGCCTCCCTGATCAGGGCCCTCAAACAGAAGGAGCACCTGGTTTGCTTCCACCTTAAAGGCCACTGTGAGTCTTGCAACTGAACAGCATTCCCTTTTTGCAGTGGCCCTTAGGAAACCCACAGCCCATTTCAAAACTCTCTAGGGTGTATCAGCTTGTGTTCCTGCTTGGTAACATTTTCCTTGGACTTGGGCTTACTTTCCTGCCTTGACTTTCTCCTTGTCATGATGTACTGACTTATTTTGAATCTTTGCATTTGGGTCTTTTTTAGATGCCAGCTCAGACTCTTTAGTAGCTTGAAAAATGAATAGTCACTGTGCTACCAGAAAGAGAAAGGAGGATATCAAGCTCCAGAGTCTGGTTCATGGTCGCCTGGCTGGATGTCCAGCACCTGGGTTCCTGGGGGCTCTGCAAGCCCTGGGTTTACCTGTGAGGAATCCTCGTGTCCAAACATGGAGGCGAGGTGAGCGGCCTTCTCCTTAATGTTCTTTTTGTGAAACTCTCTGTTGGCCAAGTTCTGAGCCCTCTTCTGCAGTCAAGGTGGGAAAGGAGAGAGAAAAGAGAGAGTGACCGAGACTTTGAGGGTGGCCTCCTGGGGAGAGGTGAGGGAGGCTCTCCACACTAGGCAGGACAGGAGACAGGGAGTGATCAGGCCAGGGCGGAGGGAGGACAGGAAGTCAACAGACAGGGAGGGACACAGGCAGAAAGGAGTGATCTTTCACCTGGAGAATCTTTTCTTCCACTTGTTGTAGCCGCCGTAGCACCCCGGAAAGGGCCAGCGCTCCCTGGCAGGTAGGAGGCAGGGTGCCGAGATTTTCTGGCCCGCCCAGCTCCAGGTCAGACTTGGCCCTGGCCCTCCATGGCCTGCTAGGATACTCCCCACCAGCAGGCACTTGCTTGAGCTCTCTGAGCACCTGCCCCATCAAAAGTACAGAGAAGAACTGGGAGAGAGGGAAGATGAAATTCCCTTCCCTCCCGTGACCTTTCTACAGACCCTGGTGCAAGGAACCTCATGAGCACCAGAGACAGGACACACCAGGCACACCCTAAGAAAGATTCCCAACTGGTCTTGGGGTGGCTCAGCTGCCACCTGCATCAGAATTACCTGATGCCCTCATGAATAAAACACATCCTGGACCTCACCCTAGACCCCGGAGCCAAACCTGGTTCTTAGCCCTAGCTGTACACTGAAATCATCTAGAGTACTTTAAAAAAATACCCAAATCTGGGGTAGGTTGGTTACTCCAGGAGGGGCATGGTCCACACCAAGACCAAGAGGCTGATTGCCTCTGATGCTAATTACCCAGTGCCCAGAGATGCCGAGTGATTGTTCTGAGTGAGCGTCGGTATTTTTTAAAAATAAAAGCTCCCCAGGTGGATCTTATGGCACAGATGTAAAATTGTAGAGTCAGATTCACACTTGCTCCACTCCAAATCTACCACCAGAAGCAACATAAAATGCCTAATGCTGACCAGATGTCTTTGGAATCTGTGGTCACTCAAAGTGGTTCTGTTCCATCACTAACAGAGGTCCTGCGCGGAGAAGGGCCTCACCACGCTCCAGCCTCATGCCTTCAATGGGTGCAGCCGCATGGCCACCCAAGCCCATTCCAACCATGACTCATTGATGTGGAAATCGCCTGTTCGCTGGGTCAGGCTGAGCAGACAGCTCAGTGCCACTGGGCATCCATAAAATGCTCACATGGTGCTGTTCGTTTTCCTTTAAGCAGCAACACCAAGAGTTGGTCAGTCAATACCCTTGACTGACCGAGGAATCAACGACGTCTATTTCAAGTGCTGCATTCATAGTTAATCTTATAGATAAGGGTGGTCACCTCAAGCTGTGTCGGCTTGGCCAGAGAATCTATGATCAGCCCTTGTGGGGGATGGAGGGAGCCACTGATCCCACCCCCAAAGTCTCCCTTGGCTTCAGCAAAATAGCATCTGCAGGAAGGAGCCCTACCTGCCTTTTCAGAGGAGGTGATGGGCTGCGAGGGGGCTCCTCTGGCTTGGGGCAGCGGGAGTTTACAGGCAGGTCGGAGGAAGAGCATGGGACAGGCTTACCTAGCCCTGAAACACGGCGTTCCTGGGAGGAATAAGGTGAGTCCGAAAAAACAGCCACAGGAGACATGGAGGAAAAGGTGAATCAGAATGAGACACTTGGAGGGAGAAGAGAAGGTGAGCAGGCAGGTGCAGTTTGCAAGGGCAGAGAGACAACTAGCCAGGCTCCTACAAGCCAGGCCTGGCTGGGAAACTGGAGGCCTGGCTCTCTGTCCACAGGAACACGGAGCCTAGAGTCCCCTCCTCTTGGACAATGTGTGAATCCCACAGGCCTTGCTTCTGGCTCAGACACTGGGCTCTGGTCCTGCACTGCCAGAGGCAGAGCCCACATCAGGCCAAAGTCAGTCCAGGAGTCCTGGAGACGGGAAAGCTTCCCGCCCTTTCTGGGATAGGGACACTCCAGTCCTTCTGGAGGAATCAAGCATTCATCAACACCTGGGGATTCTAGGAGGCCAAGCCCCCAGCAGGGGCGATCAAGAGCAGTTGTAGAGAATTAGAGGTCTCAGAGAAATGCCCCCTTATAATAATGTCAGTTCTTGGGAGGGTTGGTTAGTCTAGGAGTGGCATGGTCCACACCAAGGCCAAGAGGCTGATTGCCTCTAATTCTAATTAGCCAAGAGTCTGTCCTCCCAAAAGGAGCCTCATTCTGTCATGGCACAAGTATTCTCCATAGACAACTGGAGCTCCTTCCCCAAAGTTTTTGAAATGTGACAACATCCCTAGTCAAAACTGGTGGTGGGGGCGGGGGTGGGTGGTGGACTGAACTATGAGCAAAGACCTGGAGCTAGAGTCACAAGGAGGCCTGCAGTCTGACCCACAGCTTTCAACCTGCTCTCGTCGCAGACTAATCCTGGACAGATGCAGTGGCCCTGCATGGCTGGCTGGGAGAGGGAACACTTTGAGGCTGGCTCAGATCCCTGCAAGTGTCTGAGTCAGCTTCCTTTGGTTTGGACGAACTGTCTCACCATGGACTTAGACAGCGCTCTCCCACACACCAGCATCTCCAAAGCTCCCTCAAGCTGTACCATCTCAAAACTGGCTGCAAATCAAGTCATGGTTTTAAAGCGACACCAAATTAGGGAATGGATTTCTTTAATGCAAAACGGGTATCGGCAAACTATGGCCCACAGGCTAAATCTGGCTGGTTGTCTGTTTTTGTAAATAAAGTTTTATTGAAACATGGTCATGCTCATTTGTTTAGGCATCCTGTGTAGTGGTTTCATGCTGCAATGGCAGAGCTGCATCACTACAATGGGATAGCATGATCTTCAAAGTGGAGAACAGTTGGCCTCATGGAAAAGTCTGTGGCCTGTTGACCGGGCAGCTCATGATTCCTTTGCACCAGGCCAGGCTGGCATAGCTCAGTCCATCCCTAGCCTGAACACTGCGGCTGGCTTCCCAGCAGGTTAATGGTTACCAGGAAGGCAGGTCTAGTGACATGACTCACCTGCTTCAGGACCGAGGGGTTCCGAGTACTCTCCTCAAACTTGGCCAGCAGCTGATTTGCCATGGACTTGACTTTGTTCTGATTTCCACCTTCCTTAGTGCTGCTGCACTCTTGATTGGAGCCCAATCTACGGCTGGAGAAGGTTGATGGCTGTAAAAGTCAAAAGAGCATATTGGAGGTTGGATCCTGGAACCTTGGTATCTGTGCCTGGGGCCACTGGTTTCCCAAAGCAGAGCCTGCTTCATGGGTGAGGAAGCAAGGCAGAGGCAGTTGGCAAACCTCAGAGACAACTCTCATGGGAATTTCCTCTGAATGAACACATCTTTATTAAGAAGAAAGGGGCAGCCATGCTTGGAGTTAGAAAGTTAGGGTTTGAATTCTGACTTTCCCATCCCATGACCTTGGCAATCTACTTAACTTCTCTGAAGTTTCCTCATCTATAAAATGGGAGGGATAACTCAATTCAAGCAGTTACTGCAAAAATCAGTTATAACAAAGAAGTATCACATAAGATATTTTTCAAAAATACACTATGTGGCTGAGAAGAGGTGAAGAGTAGTGGGGATGAAGGAAGCAAGAGGGGGTGTCAGTCTGGCTAAGCACAGCTTCTTTCTCCTCTCTTTTCTGTACCTGCTTCCCCACTTCAACCAGGACTGCTCAGTGTTTGCAGCCTTTAAAAAACGTTTAATTTAGAAATGATTTTAGGTTTACATAAAAGTTGCACAGACCACACAGCTTGATCCTCGGTACCCATCACCCAGCTGCCTTTAAAGCAACATCTGGAACAATCACACTACTGTTATCAAAACTAAGAAATTAACATGGGCATGATACTGTTAATGAAACCGTAGGCGTTATTTGGATCGCATCAGTTTTTCCATTAATGTCTGTTTTTCTGTTCCAGGCTTCAGTCCAGGATCCCACGCTGCATGTGGTCATCACGTCTCCTTAGTCTCCTCCAAGCTGTGATAATTTCTCCATCTTTCCTGATCATTCATGGCCTTCATACTTTTGAAGGGTATTGGGCAGCTATTTATAGAAAGCCCCTCAATCGAGTTGGTCTGATGTTTTCTGGTGGTTAGACTGGGGCTATGGGTTTAGGGGAAGGATGCCTCTATGGCATCCACAGGGCTGTCCTTATCCTATCCTTTTGGAGTGTATGACTCACAAATGATGATGTAGCCCTCAACTGCTTAGTTAAGCTCTTTTGTAACATAGAGTTCCATGTAAGGTCATCTCTTACCAATAAAAATTGGAAAATTACCAGCTGCCCCCCCTTCCTGAAGGATCCCCTCCCACACACCCAGGAAACATAAATGCACTGCCATGCCAGCGGGCAGTGGGTGAGCTTTCTCAAGGAGACAATGGGTCTTCCCCACAGCAGTAGCATTCTCATGAAAAATGAAGATGTGTTCATTTAGAAGAAATTCATAGGAAGAAGTAAGCTAGGCTCAATTGCTTTTTAGAAGGATCCCTAGGAGGGACAGCCTCATGGGAAACCATGTGGGCACGCCCCACTTCAAATTGTGAAATGTGACCCTGCACATCAGTATAAGCGGGAGCAGGGAAGAAGAGTGTTTACTGGGAAATCACTATTTGTAGAAGATCAAAGTCAGACAACACAGTGGACACAGGCCAGCACTTTCAGACATCAATATTCAACAAATGACCCAAGATGGACCTTCAAAAGCAGATATGATTCCAGGTCTGGGTTGTGCCCCAGAGCCTGCCTTTCTAACCCAAGAGATGCTGCTGCTGCTGCTGCTGGATCTTGGGACCACACTTTGAGTAGGAAGAATTTAGAGAGAATTATTGATTTGATAAAACTGACTTTAAACAAAACAGCTGCCTCTGAAAACAGACCAGAGCCGTCTCAGAGGGACAGATGCAAAGCAGATTTCTTCCCACTCCAGAAATTTTGCTGCCAGTAGCAGAAGCAGTGTAAACAGCCCCTCAAGAGGTCAAGAGTGAAAGGCAGGAAAAGACTCCTGAAGACAAAGTGAACCTGGGAGGCTTCTGGGGAGCAGGAAAGGGCCAGCAGCACGGGCAGGAAGGTGGAGAGCCACCTGCGACCTGGGAGGAGTGCACTTTAGCCCCGTGAACAGCTCAGCTCCTCCTCCTGGTTACCTCCCTACAGGTTGGCTTCTCAGTCACACTGCAGCTGAGAGTGGGAAGCCACAGCCGGGAGAAGCCCTGGAAACACTTCAGACAGAGGTGATTTGAACATCTGTGGACAGATCTTTCAGATGGGAACTGAACTCCAGGCTTTTTTTTGTGTGTGAGAAGATGAGGGGAGTAGCAGGCAGCTGCACTTCCCAGAGGTGAGCCTCCTGGCTCTATTCGTTATACAGAGCTCACTGTCCTGAGATGGGGCAAGTCACAGACATGAACAACAATGTCCTAAAAAATACAGCAACAAAAACTCTTCAACCATATAAAAAAGTCTCTCTAAGTCCTATAAATCAGGAATCAATGTATTATTCAAATTATCCCCCGTGCCTCTAGCCATGGCTTTGACATTGGCCAGTAAGTAGGCTTGCTAATGGTGGCACCCTACATTTTGCTGACATTTGCATGCTTGCTTTCCTGGAATAAGAATGACCTTCTAAAAAATGAAGTCTTATAGCTCAGCTCTCTTTAAGTTGCTGCCTGAGGAGCAGGAACTGGTACTCTTCCCACTGACCCATTTTTCAGAAGCAGGTGAGAAATTAAGAGATTGTCTTTTTAAAATGGCCTGCAATTTTCCCTTTCACCAGAAGGTGGCACTAGTGGCCTCCAGGACTTTTGTATGTAAGATTAAAAGTGCAGAAAACAAAAGAAGACAAAGACTGAGAGCTAAATTAAGCCTGCTGGTGCCTCCTCCCTACTTATTCATAGTGATTGAATATTGGTTAACATATAGGTCATATACATGTTCAGATCTATCTATACCTCTTATTAGTCTTTAAAAATACTGCAAAGCTTCATACATTTCAGATGTATCATCACATTTTACAGTCAGGACCCACACCCTGGGAAGTTATGTTTCTCAAGGTTATGTAGCCAGTAAGGGCAAATCGAGGAGCAGAACCCCAGCTGTTATTCCATCAAGCCAAGCCTGGAACCCAGTGGTTCATGACAAAGAAAAAATGCCAGGGCTGCTGTCACAGTGGGTCAGGCCTGAGCCACTGGTTATCAGGAAACAGGCCTTTGTTTAAACTAACCCTGCACACACAAACCTCTTCCAGGTTATTGAAGCCTCTCCGCCTCCGCTTGTTCATGTCATTCTCTTCGGTTTGGCCATCTACCTGCAAAGGCCAAGAAAGCACAGTGAGCTCAGGGCTGTCAAGGGTTTGGGTTCCATTAATATCCTTGAGGCCATGTGCTGGCCTTGAACTAAAAGCACACATAAAAGCATCCCTGCCTGACAGCAGACACAGCAATAAGTGACCTTGATCCATGACAAATGCAGTCACAGAGGTATGTTCGGGCATGATGGAGAGAGCATTACCCACCCCCACTCCCACCTAAGGAAGCAGGTTTGCTCAGAAGGGCTGGGAATTACCTTCTAAAGGCTCATGATGAAACATCCTAAGGCAAACAGAATCCTTGTGACAGATAGCACAGGGACTGTTCCTATTGCAATGTGACCTTGGGGTCACAGCCCTTGGGCCTCAGTGTGCTGCCTTATGGAGACAGCCTAGGGTAATTTTCTGCTCCTTAGGAGCTTCTCCTACAAGAAGGCGACACTGGTTTGCCTTGTTGGGATTATTCTCAGGACTCGAATGAACTGTCCATGGATTTGGTAGCAAATTAAGCCTGCAATTCAGTCTCTAACATGATATTTTTAAATTTCAAATAAGCATTAGATACAGCCTGAGGATTAGAGTGGCTATGTAGCCCTGTTTTCCTGGGACAGTTGTAATTTGCTTCCCCTCTTCAGCATAATTGTTAATAGAGCCTCTTCACTCTCACAAGAATCCCTGGATTGCAAGATACAGTGCATAATTGCCCAACTGAGAACCCCTCGCAACTGCTGCCTGAATCTAAACCTTTAAATCTGCAAAACCGTGTTTACTGACCCTGCAAGGCCACCCAAAGGCACAGCACTATCAGCTGTCTGCTGAGGGAATGAGGAGGATCACACAGGGCGAGGGCCAGCTGGGTGGAGAGGTTGAGGGCAGCACCTCCTCTGCATCTGGCTGGGAAGCCCATCTTCCACATGGGGCCTCCCGGATCTGGACCTCTCCACCCTGACTCTCCAGTCTCTGGAGCCATCTCTCAGTGGCTAGCTCCCTCAGGACCACACAGCCATGCCCCAGTGACTGACTGTCCCTTTCTGCAGAAAGTCCCCTACACTTTTGCAGAATCCTTCATTGTAGGCCCAGATCACATCCTAGTCTTCCCACCATGACAGATGTAGGAGGAAGGGCTGGCTGTAGGCCACCTGCTCACCTCGAATCCAGGTACATGCCCAGCCAGCCCTAAAAGAGTAATAACTAGCACCCAGGCACTATGTACCCACTGGCTTCCAACAAACATTACCCTCTGCCCCTCCCCTCCCCTTGTTTACATCATTTTTTTTTCTTTTAGAAAGAAAAGATCAACCACAGTTTAGTAGTTGATATTAGTTCAAAAATTTGACCCAGGCAGCATAAAATAACAGATCAAAGAGCTCTGCCTTCCCTTCAACATTTTGCTCAGCTTCTCATAAATCATTATTCTGTGAATGGAAATAATTTCAACCCAAACCTTTGGGTGAACACCAAGAGAAACAGATGACCTTATTTGCAACAGTGTTGGGTCTTAGAGGCACTGGCTGGCTGGGTCTCCAGCTCCATAGCCTGCAAAAGTCACTCTGGCCTGACATTGGAGTCCCTGAAAGTACAGAACGTTCTCCAACAAGAACCCTTTATAATCTTGAGAATTTCTGCCCCGCCCCCCCTTAAATGAAAAGCTGGCTTCCTTTATACTCAACAGCCCAGGGTGGGATTGTTCCATCTACCAGAACCTTGTGCAGATCTGATCCAACTTTGTTATCTACAGGCTCACCAAAGGCATTCCTGGAAGAGAATGCCCAGCCAGCAGCTCCAGAAAGACCCTAAATTCTTCTGGGGTTGGGGGGAAGTGGAGAGCAGCAGCCTCTACTTCTTTAGACCTATCCATCCTGATCTTGGGACAATAAAATGAGTTTACATGGAAAGCTTAGCCACACACATGCCCAAAGGGTGCCTAGTTCCATAATGGATTTATCATTGAAGTATGGATTTTCAACTAAGGCCTAAGTTAAAACATAAAAAAGTTAAGAAAATAAAACCCAGAGATTTATCTAATTTTGTTCTTACCTATCTAATTTGGAAAGTCACATTCTACAAAGTACTGGAAGTACCAGGAGGAAGTGAACACTTATCATGCCAGCCAGAGAGTGTGAGAATAAACTAACAGCCTACTTTCTTTTCTTATTAATTTGTCCAGAACTCTCACTCTAAGAACATTTTCTTATCATGGTTTCCCAAGGATTCAAAAGAGTCTATATGCCAAAAGGCATTTATTAAACTAATTGCTTTCCCTCTTTAAAAAAAAAATTAAAGGCATATATTTGCCAATCTGATCATTTGTTTGATTAGCATGAGATAGCCATGTTCTCATACTGCCTGTGTGAATGTGATTTTAGCTTAAAGCAAGCAAACTATATATTTAGTTAGCTAGTGTAGGCTAAACATGGAGAAAGTTAGATCTGGATAAAAGGAACAGAGATTGGCCATTGCAGACTATGGCCTGGTGGAGTCGGACAACAGTTATGATGCTTACAAAGGTGGGCAGTAGTACTAGCAAGAGAGCTCTTTTGAGTTTTGGAACTAATTGCTTCCTGGCTGCGTGATCTTAGAAAAATCACCTAACTATAAGAACTATAAGAAGGAATCTTATAGTATCTAGCACATAAACTATTATGAGGATGAATGAGTCACAGATGTAAAATAATTCTTAAACTATACAGCTTTGGATGTAGCTCAGTGATAGAGCTCCTGCCTAGCATGTGTGAGGACCTGGGTTCTATCCCCAGTATTTCAAAACAGAACACTGGTCTTAGACTGGTGTTAGTGCAGTTTAGTTTTAGTAAAAGGATTTTCAACATCTGAATTCTAGTTCTGGCCTTGACATTTACAATCTATATGATTTATTAAAATTTATTCTCCCCCAAGTCCAAGTTTCCCCACCTACAAAATTGGGATGAGAATATAATCCCAGCTTTCCTTGAAAACTCACACGAGGGGCAAAGAAAATACATATGAAAATGCTTGTCTGCTATCAAGGGTTGCAGTACAGAACCAAGGGTTCAATCCAAACAGTTTTGTTCATCTTTTCAGAAAATAAGCATCTTTATTTAATCAGGATCCCTAAAGGAGGGGAAATGTCATCGATGGAGCCTCTTCCCTAGGCTGGACCTGCGCACGCACTTGCTCACAGCATCTTTGCAGCAATGCTATGATGTCTCTATTATTACCTCACTTTGCAGATGCACATGGGAGCTTGTTGAGAGGTTGGAATACTGGCTGAGTCCTCAGAATGTCTAAATATGTGTTTGCCTGCCTGGCTTCAAATTGCATTCTCAATCTGTAAATCAGCTCAGAACCCCAGGCTGCCAGTGTGCAGAGGAAGCAGCCTGGACACTGGTGTCCTGACATGCACAAGCTTTCAAATGTTGGAAACAAGAAGGACTAGAAACCTAGTAGGGGTTCTGGCTGCTGGGTGGGTGGGTGGGTGGACTTTGTGGGAGAATTGGGGGAAGGGGATTGATGACATTTCAAGTCCCACTAGAAGGTACTCCCTAGGGCAGGATCCTAGCTTGTCTTGTTCACTGCTCTATCTCTAGGGCAGAGAAGAGAACTCAGGTGCTCTGAGATGTTAATGGGTGGACAGATGGATGAAGAGAAGAGGTACTTTCTTAAATAACATCTGTGGTTCTTTGGAAAGTGCCAGTGCAGGAGGGTCAAGAAGAGGAGGGCTGGGAAGGGCAACAGGATCACGCAGACCAGATGTGGATATATGAGAGAATCGTGCTGCATGAACTTCTCTGTACACGGGGCCAGTGCTGCAGAAAGAAGACCTGACTGAGCAGAATAAGCCCCCAGGCTATATGCCTGGCTTCTGGGATGGGCCAACTTTTTATGTTGTCCTCCAAAGAGTGGGTTCAAAATGGGACAAGACCTAGGTACCCTGCATAGGCATTTAATATACTACATACTGACTGTAGTGGCCATAAATACATGCATCAGCCATGTATAATTAGGTCTGAGAGCGTACCAAGTAGACAGCATGAGTGTGTGCGTATGTACATGATATTTGACCATGGGAAGGACAGAGGCCAAGGATGTATATCCAGGTGTTACCTACACACATGGTGACTATAGCCCTGAAGACCTCAGAATTGGTCCATGCTAAGTAGCCTTGAAATGCTGACCAGGATCACAGGCAGCTTTACAGAAGCAGACCAAAGGCTTTTAAAGAGAAAAAGAAACTCCCCAAGATCCTCTCCTTTTCCCAGCTGCAGCCAGCCAATCTTCAGAACCAGTCAACCCCATGGGTACCACTTGCCCTGGGATGGAGAGGTTACTCCCCTAAATGTAACAAGATCCTTAATGGAGAAAATCTCTTACTTTATGAAGTTGGTAAGTCTTGCTGGGATTTGGATGTTATCAGGAAGATAAGATTAGGGAAGAAAGAAGAATTTAATATCAACTGTGAAAATCAGGAGGGAGAGAGAGTCTTAAGACTGGCTCAGCAGGCAACAGTGAATCCTCTTCAGAATAAGACGCCACATAGTAAATAGATGTGTACACGCTGCTTAATTCCCATGTCAGGGTGTTCCTCTGCAGGGTGGTGAGAAGGACAGGGAGGGTGGCTAAACAAAGATGTACTTTTATGTACTATGGTGGGGGTGGAGGGGACTAATGGCACGGAATCACACAGATGTAACTTATTCTACATTTCTATTCCACTAAGGCATGTGCTCTGCATGTCTAACTACACCAACAGCTTGGAGCACCGACTCACAGACACAGATGCACGTGTGGATTTCAGAGTGTGCACGTGTGCTGACATAGCTCTGCCTGTTCAGGATCATTCTGGGGTAGACTCAGCATCTTGTGGCAAATGTTAAGGCCAAAGATCACTGTAAATAGGTTCCCCTACCAGTAACGTATCCAGATACACGAAGACGACACCTGGTAGGACAGGGAGAAGGTACTTCTTCAGTGTGTGGGAAACATGTTAGGGTGTTTCAGTGGTGACCCAGGCACAGTGTGACCTGGGAGACTTGCCCATCCACCCAGTCACCTAGTAGCAGTCCACTGATCTGAGAGGGAACAGATAAAGCCCAGGCCAGCACTTACTTCAATAGCCAAATTTCTCAAACTATCCAAAAAGTGAAGCAAGTTTCAGACATTAAATGTGGCCGTGGGATCAGACATGTGGGGCTTGACCCTTCTCCAGCTGGGCAGCCAAAGGACACACCCTGCAGGTGGACACAGTCCACAATGAGCCGGGGCTGGGCTGGGCAGAGGCCCCAGCTTCCCCAGGGATTCCGAGCAGAGTCAGAAGGAGGTGGAATGAGGCTCCAACAGCCATCCAGGGCTTGGCTGGTCGCCTTGTGACCACCCCCAACCCCCTGAGCCAGCGCCAGGCCGGCTGTTCAATTGTGTCACTCTGCAAACAAAGGTGTGGTGACTGAAAGGTTTGAGAGTTCTCAGGAAGATCACCCTGGCTTGCTGGGAACGGAGCAGCCTGAAGCAGAGGTCCTTGGGCTTCCAAGGAAAATGGGCTGAGTGGATTTTCAGAGCGGGGCACTGTGCTGGCTCAGTGGGACACACGGGGGTGGGGGTGGCAGCACAGCCCTCACAGAGAGCTGTGAGTCAGGGCAGTCCAAGCAGTGGGCAGAGAGCAGCTGGTGCAGCTCATCATTTCCCCCCAGAATCCTCAATGCCTCAATCCTCCCTTCAGCAGCCCTGGCCTCGCTGGCCCGTCCTTCCCCAGAGCCAGGGAGGGGCAGAGGCATGAAGCCTCCTGCTCCTCAGGTCATCCAAAACAGTTGCTGCAGCATTCCATGGAGCAGGAGATGGGCCTCAGTGGGAAAGTGACCACTACTCACATAACAGAGAAAGAAAGGCTGGGCTGCCTCACTGTACCCTGGGCACAGGCTGGCAGGAGGAGGCAGGATGGACCTGGAGAGCAGGGAGACATGTGGAGGCCTGCAGCCTGCTGGAGAGATGGTGAGCTCTGGGCGGGGAGCTTTCAACCACCCTGCCCCCAGCACCCCTGCGACAGCCAGGGGCCTCCCTCTGGCCCATTCCCATGGCTCATCTCCCCTCCTCTTTCCACAGCCATCCCATAAACTTCACAATCCAGTCCTAGTCCTCTGACATGTGCCTTCTGCCCCAACACGTCCAGATTCTGTCGCCTGCCCTCTGTCCTCACATTGCCTGGCTTCTCTGTCCCGACACTGTCTTCTGGCCTCTTTTGTAGAAACACTCTCCTCCCTGGGCTTCCTGACCCCTTTCCCAGTCCCTTAAATACTCTTGCTCCCGGAGGTTCTGACCTTGGTCTTGGACTTCTTCTGAACTCCCCAGCTGGACTCTAAGGTCAAGCGTCACATCACTTCTGCATGTCCTACCACTGGATACATGATAAATGTCTCTTAATGAATGAGCTAATGAGTGGCAAAGGACATGTGGCACAGGGGCAAAGCAATGAAGTACAGCTAAGCAGTGTGTGACCTTGGTCAGGGCATCGGACCTCCCGAGGTCCTTATTTGTATCTGTAAAATGAGCACATTAAGCAAGAAAACTTGTATTCTGTCACCCATGGAGATGCTATCATTCAATTAACATGGCAACTGCCCATTAGGCCTGTGGTTCCCAGACTGTGTACCAAGGCACCTGTGACACCACAGTGAACTCATAGAGGAGCCACAGGATATTTTAAATTTTCTAGAGAAACACGATGATACCTGTCAGACCTCTTGTAAAATACTCTGATTTACCTGGACTCACCATATAAGCAGAACTATTAGAATTTCTTTTGAAAGACTAAAAACTACCCAGGGTGGTCGGCATCTAGTAGAGTTGAATGTTTGTTGAATGGACGAACAAAATAAAATGAATGGAAACGTCGTGTACCTGTAGCATCCCTGCCACACTTCTACCATCAGGTCCCTGATGGACAAAGTGAGAAATCACCTCACTCCCACCCCTAGAAGATGCCCGAGTCATTAATCTGGTTTACTTTAAAAAATATTCACCAAAGCCTGGCAGAGCAGTGTACACCTGTTATCCCAGGAACTGAGGCAGGCGGCTCACAAGTTCCAAGCCAGCCTGGGCAATTTAGGGAGACCTTGTCTCAAACTAAGAAAAAGGCTAGGGGTGTAGCTCAGTGGTAGAGCACCCCTGGGTTCCATGCCACCACTGTCCAAAGCAAACAACAAAACTCTTCACCAACATGTCCTCTCTGCTCCCCACCAACCCATTCCTGTAACTACTAAGTCCATGAAACGGATTGGCAGAGAGAACTTCCAGAAACACTTACTTATCCAACCGAGTTTTATGCACATCTTCTGTGAGTGCTTGATCTGCACAATTTGTTAGCACAAATAGACCAAGGGCTTGAAATTCTCCATCCTCTTAACCTCACCCATGTGCAATGAGAAATAAGATAAAAACCAGGCCAGAACTTACCCGTGGAGTCCTCTTCCTTGGAAACGTGAGGTTGAGATAGTTATTCGAAATGGAGCATTTGGTCAAGCTGAGGTCTGTATTTTCTCCATAGTTTTTGCGCCAAGATTCTGTTGGGAAATACAAGCAAAACTGAGATTTGGAGCCTGGGCCCAGGAGGTATTATAACCAGGGGGTGTGGTCATATCAAGGTCCTTTTAAAAGAGTTACCTTACCCTGGACTAAAGTCTGAGAAGGGGGTGGTTCCTATGGTGACCTCCCATAATGGAAATGGTGCCTATTATGCAGATTCCCTCATACATACAGGGTCCCCAAACTGAGGTCACCCTTGCTGGCCTCAGAGTCAAAGGGAAGGCAGCAGGCAGCTCCGAAGCAGAAGACAGAAGTGTTAGGAGAAGGCAGACTCGGGCTCCAGGGTAGAGGTGACCCAAGGGGCTGGGCAACATCCTGTGCAGGTGCTTACCCATGGGCCTCAGCGGGGAGCCCTGGAAGAGCTCGTAGAACTTGGAAAGGTACATGACCATGCTCAGCTTGTCTGGCTCCTGGGCTGATGCCATCTCTTTTCCGGTGGTCACTGGAGGGATCCCAAATTCACGTTCGGCCACGTCAAATGCCAGCTGGTTGTTCTCTACAGCGTCATCTTCATTCAGAGAGTCAAAATTGCTGGAGAATCATTACAAGGTGAAGAAGTTCAGGGAGAGGTGAGAAGATGTCTAACCTGTGAGGAGCACTGTGGGCTGACGCTCTGCCAGGTTCCAGAGACCCCAGCCCGTGTCCCAGAGTCCCAGCCACCACCCCAGACCTGAAGAGGCTGGCCCCACCCTTCTCAGTCTGGGAGGAACCAAATCAGACAGGCGCCATGATCATGCATTGAGCCTGAGCTGCTACCCTAAGAAAATGGAAAATTAATAAGCTACTTATTATCATTTCCCTTCTGTTTCTACTTTTTAATTAAAAAAGCATTTAGGGTTTTTTTTTTTTTTTT